TTTGTTTTATTTTCTTACATAACTAATTTTTAAATTCGTTTCTGCAATTTTACCCTATTATATTTTTATTATCCTGTAATATTGTGCCCCCCCCCAAAGTAGCCTTGAAGGTTTATAATTCTAAAATCTGGGCACAGCAGAAAAATTATATTGTGGAGCTTTGGATTAAATGAAACAATGGAAACACCTGTTAAGTTCTATATTTTATTTATTCATATGGAGTTGATCTTCCATGAGCAAACACTATAGCATTAACATACCACGGAACTGGTGAAACAAGGTTTTGTGCATCAGATTTTAAACCAATCATTTATCAATACTTCTTATAATTATTAAACTGGTGTTTACAGTGGAAATCTGTTTTTAAATTTGGTTTCAAAAACTCAACATAGGAGATAACATTCAAGTCCTCATGTTCTGTGAACCAGTCTTTAATAATATTAGCAGTGCATTGTATTTTTAAAACAAACCATTCTATTTGGACGTGAATTGTTCTTCTTGTGTTAAATATGGTCTGCAGTAAAGTTTAAGTGATCATTTGCTGTATTCTTACCTTTCAAAGAGATCAAATGTTCAAACAAAAACTGCCCATGTCATCACGGAGCCTTCACCATACTTAACTGATAGCACAAAGCTTACTGAGATCTAACCTTCACCATACTTAACTGATAGCACAAAGCTTACTGAGATCTAGCCTTCACTTGGTTTTAATCATACAGATATTCTTACCTTTCAAAGAGATCAAATGTTCAAACAAAAACTGCCCATGTCATCACGGAGCCTTCACCATACTTAACTGATAGCACAAAGCTTACTGAGATCTAGCCTTCACCATACTTAACTGATAGCACAAAGCTTACTGAGATCTAGCCTTCACTTGGTTTTAATCATACAGAAACACGCCCATTTGATGTAAAAAATTATCAAACCCAATTCTTCCAGTAGTTGCTTTAGAGGTTTCTAAATAACTGATTTAACATGGTAGGCTGTGTTCTGCAGTTTCCTTCAGGTTGTTTTGACAGATATTGGTTGTTGTAGGCTAAAATTAACTATTGCATGTACATTTCACGCTTTTTTTATTTATGTCGCAATATTCACTCGTCTCTAAGGATCTGTTATCTTAGTCTTTCAACTATATTATGTTTATCTGGCGTGGTTTTATATATCGAGAACTATGCTGATATCACATTTGATACTGTTTCTAAAGATAGATTCAGATGTTTGTGTCACTGAAAATCCAACCAGACGTTAGCCTACAACCACCCATATTTGGAAATTTGATAGATCTTTTAGCATGCGAAATGTTTAGAACATTTCTCTGAGAAAAATGTACTATTAATATACAGACAAAACAAGTGAAATTGAATAATTTAATGTACAGTTAAATTACCATATGGCCATGTTTTCATCTCATATAGACACCAAAAACTGGAGTTATAAGACGAAGGTGTTTCCATTATTTTGTCTTGTCCAACTAACTCTATATATAGTAAAACTTCAGTTTTGTACAGTTTATTTTATATCATTTTCATTTTAAAGTCTCTGTTGTTCCATTATAATTTTACAGTTTTCTTTAGTCTACTGGCTGTTGCAACCAGTTTGTTTAATATGGTTTCGTTCCATGATAACTGAGTAAGTGTTTATGGATATGATTAATGGAATCTGTGACTACATTAACCTCTTAATTCAGTAATTTAAACTTTTAAAGATGTGAACCTTGGAATACTGCTAAATAAAAAGAAAAACGTAGCAGCTGAAATTTTTATATTTACAGTTACTTGACTGTACTCCTGTTTTTACTACCCTGAGGTGTGGGTCATTCCCAAGTGAAAAGATGGTATAAACCAAATGATAATAACTGAAACTAAATATTACCTTAAATGTGCATGTAAAATGAGAATGATAACTGATGTAGGTAATTTATGATTGTGGGATACCACAATAGTGCTTTACAGTGTAATATAGACTTAATTCTTCATTCACTTTTCTGTCGAAAACATTTTTCGTGCTTCCCCAGTAACTAATTAATTGCCGACACCTGAGAGTTTAGTCAGTATTAGGATAAAGTGTAACACGTGTAAGGTACACACAGTAGGTAATTTGCTTTTTTTGTTTAACAGACCTGTGTGAGTCTTTCTTTCATGGCCTGAGTTTATTTTGATTTTATAACACAAAGATTCAATACTCCTGTTATTGTGTTACTTTATGATTACAGCACCACCGTTTTTTTTTTTTTTGGCTGGCCAGATAGTAGAATTTGATCGTCATTTTTATGACACACTCACGTCTCCAAAGTACGAGGCGCGTTTCTGTACTAATGGGAAGTGAACCATGAATTTTCGGATTTACAGTAAGGGCACGCTAACAACAGGGCCACGCTCGGTTAACATGACTTAATTATCCACACAAATTATTTTAAAATATTTTAAGCTTAACGTCAAACACAGTCTTGGTAGTGATAGTCTTTTCCATGTTTTTAATATTCTGAGGCCACAATATTTTTATGGTTAAACGGAAAGCTACAGAATGGGCCATCTGTGCTGTGCCCACCACGGTTATCCGACTATGATTTTTAGCATTATAAGCCTTCAGACATACACCTGAGAGGGGGATACTATTGTTGTTGTTTTTTCGGAGTATCTTAAAGACTTTTTACTGTAATAGACTGCTTTTAATTTTTGGATCAAATTATATATTTTATTTTTTAAAAAAGATTTATATTTAGCGTAAATTAAAATATTAAATTTAGTGCTGACCCAATCTATAAAGCTAATAATGTAATATAACTTATGTTAGGGTCTAATTATTGAGTTAATGAGGTTATAACTAAGTATTTTGGATTTTGATTTAATGAGGAAAAGTATAATCAGATTGATGGAGTTGTCATGGGATCCAGATTGCCTCCTACTTTAGCTAATCTTCTCTCAAAAGGTTGTTCGAAAAATTTAAACCTTTGTTTTATTCTAAATAGAGTTATTACAATTTAAGGAACTTCGAAAGCTCTGAATATGTTTAAGAAATTAGCTGCTTGAATGTAAAACGTAGAGCTATATTCACAATTAAATGTCAATAAGAGGCCAAATTCGCTTTTGTTGTTGCCTAAGTTCACAAATCTAAAACGAAACTTGAACAAAGACCTTTTTATCAAAAGGCAAGCTGGCCAACCCATACTACTTAAATTAACTCAGTTTACATTAATCCAATTTAAAGTGACTTGGTTGGAACCTTACTAAAGTATACACAGCGTGGTCACAAGTAAATAGACACCACCTTTTCAGAAAAAATTAAAATTTTTAGTCATATTCACATGTATTGATATATTTATGAGTTAATTAATATCTAGTAAATCTTCCTTTCGCTTGGTGGAGGTCGTTGATCCTTTGGGTTCGTGAGAATCATCTCGTCAATTTTAGATTGTGGGATTTTCGCCCACTCTTGCTTCAAAACTTGGAGTAGATCGCTCTTCGAAGTTTTTTTTTTTTTGGTTGTTT